AGAAATCAAATATGATGATTTAATGCTAATATAACAAACTTGCACTAATTTCCTAAAACCTCTCTACCTAATTTAAACATAAATATATGATTCTTATTTCACTTTTATTTGATCTTATATTTATATTATTTTAAATTATTATAAAATATATAAATAGTTAGTAAATTTTAGTTTTTTTTTTTCCGCATATGTTACAATTCAAATTTTTTAAAACGGACATATATTACTCAATCGATGAATAAAAATATGTGTGTAATCTATATTAACATTTTTAAGAACAAATTGAGCATTTAATCATGTCGTTATTTTATTCAGACCCGAAATTGAGTCATTCGGATCTTTCTTTAATTTTTACAATTATCTAAAATGGGACAGTATATCACGGGTGAAATCCTAATTAGTATTTTAAGATACAATTATAAATTGTTTTTACGGGTTGGTCCAAAAACACACACTAATTTAAAAATATACATGGAAACTATTTTGAAAGCAACTTTCAAATTAACTCAAATTATATGACATTTAAATAAAAGTGTTATTAAAAAAATAACAAAATGATGTTTAATTTCATTTTAGATTATATGGTTGGACGGGTTTGGGTCAATATTAATACGAGACAATATACCACAGGTGAAATCCTATAAATAACAAATCAAAATACAATTATACAATCTTAAACACTAAACAAAACAAATACAACTTAAAATTTTTTATTTTAGATACAACGCATGTGACCCGCGGTATACAACAAAAAATATTATACACAATAAATTCATCAATTTATAAAAATAAAAAAATCAAATAATTAATCCGCGGTGTACCGCGGGTCATATCCTAGTTTTAGAGTGTTTATGCTAGACAAAAAGCCATCGAATTTAACTTGTTAACCTAAAATATGTATCTCATGATTATTCAAAATCAGCTAAAATAAAAATAATTCATACTAAAAGTTTCAAGATAAACAATAAAAGTAGTTAGTATTTGACTTTTTAATTAAGTTATTTCCTCGAAGTCTCATTTTTTCTCCTCTGACTCAACAGATTAATTTCTCTATTAGAATAACAACTTAAATATTTCCCGGAGACTTAAATATTCTTTAAAACGCCTTTATCAACAGCAACAAATTCTTGAATTGTATATTTTTTTAATTAAAAAAAAAGACTTAAATAAATCAGGATAAAATCAAATATAAGAATGCATTGTTCATAGTAACTTAAACATGGAGCTCTTAGTTTTTTTGGGAGACTTCTAGATATTTTTATGAAATAAAATAAAGTGTCGATCACTACCGACCTACGTGCATGTATTCTCGTTTATATGATAGTTACATGATTTATGCAATAATCATAGACGACGTGCATCGATGAGCGGCCCACGACCACGACGTAAGGATTACGGTTTAATTTTATATATCAATTGTATTTTTTAAATAATAAATTTAGAATGTTGACAAATGAAAAATATCAGAGAAGCTTATCAAATGATTCGAATCTAAAGCGAATAATAACAAATTGTGATTTATATCCTTTTATCTCGTCGACATTTATGATTTAAGTCCTAATATATATATATATATATATATTAGTATATATTGTACGATACGATTTGTATATATATATTATATAGTTATATACAGGCCCGGCCTACCACCAATTCTGAAGAAACAAAAGTATTGGGCCTCAAGAATTTTTAAAATTTTGAGTATCAAACCCAAAAAAATTTGATATTGTAAAATATAGGCCTCATTTCTCTAAAATTTTCAGATTTAGTCTCAATATTTAAATTTTATTTATTTGTTATTGCAAAATAGGCCCCAATTTTTCTGAACTTTTAAGACAATAACTCAAATTTTATTTTTTTTCTATAAAATCCATTAAAAAAAAAATTGTATGGGGCCCATATCTCACAGGGCCGGCACTGGTTATATATAATATACTATACTTCAACTGAAAATAAAGTTAAATGTTATTGAAGAGTTTAAGACACTACCATAGCTCCCCCACATCCACATGCACTATTTCTTCGTAACATAGCAAATTAAAACAATGCATTTATTAAGTTGTCAGTTAAGGAAAAATAAGTTGTGAATTTATTATTTGATTTTAATTTAATTTTTCAGTTTTTCTTTTAGGTAAAAACTAAAAAGAATGAAACCTTATGCTTCACCATTTAAGAGTTTCGTTTTTATTTAGGGGTATTAAAAATCTAAATAAAACTGAAAATGAAACAAAAGCGAATTTAAATTAAAGTAATATTTTTCTTATAGTCCGAAAAAAGTTAAAATAATTTCTTACTATAGTCTTAAATTACTTTGACCTTTTTAATAATATATTCAAAATTATTTCAAAACAAATCAAACTATAACAAAAAAAAGAAAAGAAAAATTGATTAAGAGCCAAAAAAAATCACATGTTATTATTCATCGTTGAATAATAATTTTTTAGTCAAACCTTGGATTAACATGTATCAATCAAACTAACTCTAAATAATATTCGGTATCATCACAATTGGGTATAAATTTATCTATAATTAAAATTTGAAATAAATTAATTATATTACGATTATTACAATCCCGAATTCTACGGTCAATCAAAAAGACATATATTTTCCAACCATACAGCATTTTAGAATGGAGTTGAAATAGTCTTAATTTGACACGTGTAACTCGCACGTGCCGTCCACTAGTGCCAGATCTGTATAAATCAAACCTACGCGTTTCATATCTCTTTTCAAATCTCACCGACGCGATCCGATCTCATCTCTCTCATTTCGAAACCATGGTTGAGCCGGCGAATACTGTTGGTCTCCCGGTGAATCCGACGCCCTTGCTGAAAGATGAGCTCGATATCGTGATTCCGACTATCAGAAACCTCGATTTCCTCGAGATGTGGAGGCCTTTTCTTCAGCCTTACCATCTGATCATCGTCCAGGACGGAGATCCTTCGAAGAAGATCCATGTCCCTGAAGGCTACGACTATGAGCTCTACAACAGGAACGACATTAACCGGATCCTCGGGCCTAAAGCTTCTTGTATCTCGTTTAAGGATTCTGCTTGTCGGTGCTTTGGGTATATGGTGTCTAAGAAGAAGTATATCTTCACCATTGATGACGATTGCTTCGTAAGTTACTCGAATTTTGAGATTTTGTTCTCGCTTTTATGCTTGATTTGAGTTTCGTCAATTTTGGTTCTAGATCTGTGTTTTTTTAGCTTATTTGTTTGTGTTTGTGTGAATTTTTCAAGTTCGTTGCTTGAATTTCGTAGATTTGGTGAGAGATCAAGTCAACGATTCACTAAATTTGACGGATCTTAGGTTTGTGAGATAATCCTAGGTCAATTGGGCAATTCAATGTTTTGTACCAGATCCATAGATCCACTTGATGAGTCCTGGATATGTTTTCACTCGAGTGTAATTAGCCATGATCTCTAATGTTTACGTGTGAGCTGATGTCACTTTTGTTGACGACATTGTTGTTGAGCTGATATCTCTGTGTCATTATAGCTACCTTTACGATATGGTTGACTGTCATTGTTCATCACTTTTTCTTTGGTTTCACCTTTTTGAGATTTGTGGGGCATATCCAAGGATGAGTCTCGATTACGCTTGTGTTTAGTTTTTAATTTACTGAGCTTTTTTGGAGGATTTCTTTCAGGTCTTCTAGATAATTATTAATGGCTTGATCTGGATTTTAACCGCTTTTCATTCATGTGTTTTCTTTGATGTGTATATGTAGGTTGCCAAGGATCCATCTGGCAAAGCAGTAAATGCTCTTGAGCAACACATCAAGAACCTTCTCTGCCCATCGTCTCCCTTTTTCTTCAACACCTTGTATGATCCTTACCGTGAAGGTGCTGATTTCGTCCGTGGATACCCTTTCAGTCTCCGTGAAGGTGTTTCCACTGCTGTTTCCCATGGTCTCTGGCTCAACATCCCTGACTACGATGCCCCGACCCAACTCGTGAAGCCTAAGGAGAGGAACACCAGGTGACAATAATTACCATCATAACATGTGAATGTGGGTTTGTCTGGATATTCAAATGTCAAGTCTTTTGCTAAACGTTCGATATGTCAGGTATGTGGATGCTGTCATGACCATCCCAAAGGGAACACTTTTCCCAATGTGTGGTATGAACTTGGCTTTCGACCGTGATTTGATTGGCCCAGCTATGTACTTTGGTCTCATGGGTGATGGTCAGCCTATTGGTCGCTACGACGATATGTGGGCTGGTTGGTGCATCAAGGTAATTTCTTCTTATTCCCTTTTAAGACTCATGATTGAGTGGAACAATTGAAATATACGGATATGAATAGTATAGCTAAATATGAAGCACATGCTCCGTACTTAGTTGTTTGGAATTGAGTTTTTTATAGGTGATCTGTGACCACTTGAGCTTGGGAGTGAAGACCGGTTTGCCGTATATCTACCACAGCAAAGCGAGCAACCCTTTTGTGAACTTGAGGAAGGAATACAAGGGAATCTTCTGGCAGGAGGAGATCATTCCGTTCTTCCAGAACGCAAAGCTATCGAAAGAAGCAGTAACTGTTCAGCAATGCTACATTGAGCTCTCAAAGATGGTGAAGGAGAAGTTGAGCTCCTTAGACCCGTACTTTGACAAGCTTGCAGACGCCATGGTTACATGGATTGAAGCTTGGGATGAGCTTAACCCACCAGCAGCCAATGGCAAAGCTTGAGCAGTATGAGCCAAAAAAAGAAAAAAACCACCACAGTTTTGGTTATTTTAGCTCAAATTATCTTTACTTTTAAATTTCGGATTTTATGAACCTTTCTTGCTTTTTTACACATTTGAGTAGTTTTTCATCATCAGTACTTTCTCATTGTCCGGTTATGGTTCTTGCATTTTGTTTAAATATCACCGGTTTATTTATAAACAGTGGTGGATTTGTAGTACTATTTTCTGAGCTTTTTTCTTTGTTTCATTAATAAAAAAGCCTTTCATAAGTGATTGCAATTAGTATTTTTGGTTTCCATTAATCATCCATTATCATAGGTATGTTTTGGCATTAAGTGGTATAAGGAATTGTTTGTAGGCCAAAAATAAGTTGAATTTCTTTTGAGAGAGCTTTTTACAAAAGAAAGAGCATTGTTTCAATAGGCTTTCACAATTGGTCGATATTTTGATCAACATATCATAGGCATATCTCAATTAATAAACCGAAATGTTAATATGTTTTTGCAAGATCCTTATTAGAATCAAACCCTGAAGACCCGACCCGGTTGCGCAAAATCCACTTTCCTACTTGGTTAAATGGTCAAGCCCATTATGAACCGATGCATATCCGTGAAGACCGGACCCGAGTTACGTAAGATCCATGCTTTAACAGTCGGGTAGGTATAAATATTTCGTACGGATCTGCTCCTTTATAAACATTGTCTCCATTTTTATTACTCAGCTGGGGTAGAGAGATAAATCTAGGGTTTCGAAACAAGAGCGATCGATCATGAGAAGACGGCCGAGCAAAAAGAGCAAAACCGAGAACAACAAGGATCTACACACGTCAGAAGAGAGAATCAAGTTTGATGAAATCCCTCATGACCTAGTGATCGAGATTCTTCGGAGATTGCCTGCGAAATCTGTAGCTAGGTTTCTCACTGTATCCAAGTTGTGGGCCACAACTATCCGCAGTCCAGATTTCATCAAATCTTACCCGTTTGGATCTTCGTCGAAGCCTCGTACCCTAATCGTTTGCGACTTAAATTATAAGGAACCAAACCCAAATGTGCATTTCTTCAGGCCGTCTTCTTCATCATCAACATCAACGTCTCTTCTATCACGTGTGACATGTCCGTTCACATATCCTCGTCACATGGAGTACTATTATCATCATGTTAATGGATTGATAAGCGTTGGATATGGTACAGAGCAAATCGTAACCAACCCCATCACTGGTAAGTTCATAACTTTACCAAAACCTAGAACAAGGAGAAAGCTCGTAAGAAGTCTTTTCGGGTATGATTCAGTTAGTGATCAATACAAAGTGTTGTGCATGACGGAAAGACTGCGTGGCCATCCGGAAGAAGCATCATCTCAACATCAAGTGTACACATTGGGAGCTAAAAAGAAATCATGGAAAATGATCAATTGTAGCATCCCTCACCGTCCTTGGTCGTGGAACGGTGTATGCATAAATGGTGTTGTGTATTACATTGCTAAAACGGGGGCGGGAATGTTGCAGCTGAGCTTAATGAGATTTGATTTGAAGTCTGACGATCTGGATCTTTTTACTAGTTTACCTGAAGAGATTGAAACAAGTCTATATGATTGCCTTTTGATAAACTACGAGGGGAAAGTAGCCATACCCACTCGCCCTACAGATAATACATGTGATGTGTGGGTTATGAATCAAGAAGGTGGAAAACTTGAATGGTTGAAGAAAATAAGTTTCAGTACTAAACCTTGGAAGGGTTCATGTTATCTAGTCGTCACAGGCACTACTCCTACGGGTGAGTTTATTTTGGCACCAACGCACTATTATGATTCGTTTTATGTCTTCCATTGCAATCCCGACTTGAATTGTTTTAGAAAGATTACGATTCAAGCACCCGGAGTCCCGAAGTATAATTATCATCAGAAACTTGCATTTGTTTTTTCGGATTACGTAGAGAGTGTTAGGTTGTTATAGGAGAAGACATTTTCATGGTTTTGATACCCATAATCTTTTTTTTTTTTTTTGTTTCGTTGATTACTCTGTTGATTAATCAATTTTATTTCATAAGCAATATCATCATTTTTTTCTTCTAAAATAAGTTGGACTTTGTCTGCTTGGTTCTGGATGTTATTGACACTATATAGTTTCTGTCAACAAAAAAAAGAGAGAGTTCGTGATAACATTATATATCGAAAAGAGGTCATGATTTGAATCCATATATAATCTTTGAAATCAATGAACCACAACTTTCTATGCCTATGGTTTAAGATATATTTTATATGAATTCACTATGAGTCCACGAGCTACAACGACTTATTTACACTCCTTGTTTACCCAATTTGTGCAAAAGGATGCATATCCGTGAAGACAGGACCCGGTTAGGTAAGATCCACTTTACCAGTCGGGTATAAAAAAAGCCCATTGGTATATTTGGTACGGGCCTGCTCCTTTAAAGGCTTTAATTATAAACCTTCGATTATTTACTCAGCTAGAAAAGGAGCAAACGAAAGAGTTGACAGAGAAATCTAGGGTTTCGAAGACGCAACAAAAAGACCAAAACCGTGATCAGCAATCCAGAAACTTCGGAAGAGAGTAACAAGTTTGATGAAATCCCCCGTGACCTAGTGATCGAGATTCTTGCGAGATTGCCTGTGAAATCTGTAGCTAGGTTTCTTACGGTATCCAAGTCATGGGCAACAACTATATGCAGTCCAGATTTCATCAGATGTTACCCGTGTGGTTCTTCGTCGAAGCCTCGAACCCTAATTGCTTCTAGTGAAGCAGATTTCAAAAGGGGTCAACACGAATGGCACTTCTTCTCGCAGTCTTCCTCATCAACGTCTCTTGTATCACGTGTGACATGTCCGCTCCCATTACCATATAACTATGGAAAGTACTATGATCAACATCATGTCAATGGGTTGATAAGCCTTGGATATGGTCCAAAGCAAATCGTGGCTAACCCTAGCACAGGTACATCCATAACTTTACCAAGAGTCAAAACCAGGAGAACGATAGTAAATAGCTTTTTCGGGTACGATTCTGTTAGTGATCAATACAAAGTGTTGTGCATGACGGTTAAATCGTATGGTGATCAAAGGGATGAGTCATGTCAACATCAAGTATTCACATTAGGAGCTAAAAAGAAATCATGGAAAATGATAGATTGTAGCATTCCTCACCGTCCTTGCTCTAACGGTTTGTGCATAGATAGTGTTGTGTATTATACTATGATCATGAGATTTATGTCTTCCATTACAATCCCGACACCAATTTTTTTAGACGCACTAAGGTTGAAGCATCCTCAGCGTTCATGTGTCGTTCTAGAAGAGCAATGGTTTTTCCGGATTACGTAGAGAGTGTTAGATTGTTGTAGACTAAAGTTATAATTTCGACAATTTGTGAATACTTGTAGTGATAAAAAAATCGAGGAATTTACATGTTAAAATTGTACTTGATAATATTACAATTTTGGTTGACTTCACTATCTATTAGTTCTTCGTGATCATAATTATCATAAGTAACAAATAAATATTTCCTTCTTAAATGTCTGCATACATTGGAACTCTACTAACCGCGATCATACAAGTTAGATATTCACACACAAACGCATTGCTTCTTTAAAACTTCTGAAAATCATACAAATAACCAAAAAAATTGCAAAACTTTACTGAAAATGTTACATGTTTGCGATTGTTGTGACAAAAGGCACCAATCTTCTGTAATCTCTTCTTCCTAGAGCGCAATTATCAAGAACCCGACCCAACATTAGCCTTGTATTCTGCAAAGCCACATCTCTCGGAGGTATCCCTGACTCTGCTGCAGCTGCACTGAGAGGGAAAGGTTGCGACATTGTTGCAGCCATCATTGCATACTGAAGAGGTCCGCTTCGAGCTTTAAATGAAGTCTGAGGTACAAGCGTTTTCTCATCAGCCCCGTTTTCAGAGTAACTGAAATCCTGAGGGTGGGATCCACCAGTGCCCCCTTGTACCGGGCTGCAGCTCTGAAGAAGAGCTTCGAGAACACTCAATGCCTCCCAACACAGAGTGCTTTCGACTAGCTGCGAAACGATTGTGTACATGTGGGGACTCTGCGAAGCATCCATGGGAGTGTGTTGGAGCAATGCCTTGAGCATAAGTAATATGACTCGCTGGTAATCCACTGGTCCTTTTTTTAGCAGTCTTAACAAGTGACCGAAAGCTAAAGCTGAGTGTTTCGGGAACCATTTGTTGCAGAGCAGAGGAGAGACACATGCAAGGAGATTTTCAACTCTTTTAATCTCCCCACGAGCATATGCCACAAAAACCGTAGCCAATTCATCGAGTAATTTCGCCCGACACCAGACAGCAATGTTAGCTGCCACAGAACATGCCTTTTGATACTGCTGCTGGAGTGGTAACGCAGAAATCATGACTTGGTCTTGGCTCAGCTGCAAGCAAAGCCAAGGAAGTAGACCTGTGATATGCATAAGGAGTCTTGTCTCAGCATCGCCAAATATAGAGTCACATGAAGGCACTGAAATCCTTGATAGGACCTCAATAGAGAACTCGTGGCTAACAGTAGACATCAGTCCTTTGAGGACAAGAGGTTGTACACCTTCGAACTTTGGAAGAGTTCCGCTTGACGGCGGCATCTCATACCCTCTAGATTCTGACCTTTGGAATTCCCCCAAATCATTAGTGTTGAATTCATCCCGAGGCATACTTGACAAGAGCACATTTTCAGTTGTTTTGTCACGAAATGATAGACGGTCAATAATACGGGAGAAAAGCTCAAGAACCTGGCAATAAACATGGACGAAGTCTGTGTGCATCATGGCGACACAGCCCCAGAAGAGCTGTGGGTAGAGTATGACTTTCTCTGGCTCCATGTTCTCTACCATGACTTGTAGCGTCAGAAGGATTTCCATAATAAAACCCAAAACTGGAGGAATGGGATTGCTTAGACATCGATGAAGACAGCGTAGAAGGGAGACACATGCATCACTTGTCACACTTGGCCGTAGCGCACGGTATATTTGGTGTGACCGACATGCTAGATGTCTAGACGTGCATTCCATAGCCCATTTGAGAGCTTCAGTTCCCCAAGTTTCTCGAAGATCACCTTGGAAGAATATAGCATCAACCATACTCTGAACAAGTGCAGACAAAAGAGCGGCACTAGGAAGATCTGTCCTCACAACCGTTGGATCTTCATTCTCCCACATCATGCTTCCTCGTTTTGATTGCACATACTTAATTAAACTGACAACCTGTTGTTTGTTCTCTCCATCACTGTTCTCCACCTCATATAGCTCCAAATGCCGACCCGCTAGTGAGTACAACAAATTCACAAGCAAATGTTGACAATGCTCTAGCACAATGTCTTCAGAGCTATCCATCGAAACAAAAGTGACGTGGAAGAGCAAAGGCAGATGTTCCCTAAAATCTTCATCATTCTCATATGCGATTTCTGCAAGAAGAATCAGAGCTATATCGGCATGAGTGAGTGAGTGCTGTTGATGTCCCTGCAAAGCTGATTGAAGTTCCTTTGCATTGACGCCGTGCATTGCAATCCCAGAATGCAACACATCTTCTCCAGAATTTGGTGTATCGATGAGGTAATCTCCACTATCACGTGAGACATGGCGGCTCCTCAAACTTCCTGTAGAGCTACGAACTCCCATTAAAGGTCCTGATGCATTCACCAATGATGGCAGGAGTTGACCAGAACGACCAGTAGCTACAGGAACAATATTCAACTCAGGAGGCATTGGACTTAAAGGCCCAGAAGCACTTCGCCCAGTCATGCCTGCTGTTCTCCAGCTTAGGCTTCCACTTGTATTCCTAAGGGGACCATCAAGGGAGCCTCGGACAAGAAGTGGTGACATATGTGGTTGGCTGTCTGCAACTGAAGCAACTTGAGGTGCTGTGGCAGGTCCCTGAGAGAACTCCAGCACAAAGTTTCCATTGGAATCACCCCGGTTTGCACTATAACCAATGGGTTCAATACTGTCTTCCAGCATCCGCTGTGACAGTTGGTAAACCAGGTGATCAATAGTACGCTGAGGACATATCCGTGCTAGGTAAAGACTTACACGTTTAGCAACTGAAAAATATGTAGCAAATGCACCAGTTATTTCGGCAGATGCATTTGAATCACAGTCCTCAATTCCCTTTGTGATCAAGAAATCCAAAACAGGGCTGATGTTTCTAGGCTTACTAGCAATGGTACTCCAAAGTTTTTCAATTTCATCAGGGAATTGATCCCCATGTCGCCATGTGACATAGTAAAGACTTTTCAGTAATCTTTCACTCCAACCTGAATCCTTGAGTTTCCAGAAATTAAGGTTCTCAATCCATGGAGCCATACAGGTCAAGACCTGATGCTGAGCAATTATATCAACAGCATCAAGCTGACGCTGCATAATTTCTTCACAAAGCAGCTGGCTTAACTCAGGATGATCCTTGGCGAGTTTGCAGGAGAGCTTGTACTGGAACTGTTGATATGAATCTGGAAGATTACCTACAACTGCTGCTCTATAGCCTCCTGAACCTTCTATACCATCCTCAGCCCACTCACGCATAGAAAGTGTCTCAAGCATTTGAAGAGCATCATCGCGAATTTGTCTAGATGGATCGACTACCTTGTAGAGAATTAGACTCAGGAGCCTCTGGATTTCACATTTTGGTATTTCTTGTCGCATGTAAACCTCAGCCAACACACTGAAGTACCCATCAGCTATAGCCGCATCAGAGTAGTAACACTGGGAAAAGCACAGATGAATTAGGTCATCGAGTTTAGAAGAGTCTAACTAAGGATGGAGTCACACAGATGACCAAAGCATAGAAGTGAGAAAAGCTTATCAAGAGAATTCAGATGCTTAAACTGGAGCTAATAAAACAAATCTATCTAACACGGAAACCATCACTGCATGGATAAGTTGTCATCATTGGTCAAGTTATATATAACATTTGATCTAGTAATTACCACAATGACAGTATAATTAAACACAACTTCCATGCATTCAGTCAGAGAGAACTTTACCTGATCAATGCAGGCAGGAAAGAGATCCAAGTTTGTAAGTAGAAGATTCTTCAGAGCCAATTTTGCCAACGCAACACGTTGATGACCACCTCTATGCCTATCACGGCCTGTTGTCCCTCGTCCACCTTCTCCTGTGTATTTGGAGTAAGATGGAGTTCTTGGATCAGCAGGCGAGTAACCAAAAGGGACCCTGGGAGCAGGCTCAATGAACAAACTATTTATCCAAGATATCACACGACCGCTCATTTTTCTTGCATTGTCGTCAAAACACGGTCCATACAGAAGGGAAGCCATTGCATTCAATGAGGCCCACTGTATGGCTTCAATTTGCTCATTCAGTTCCTTGTCAAAAGAAATCTTGTCTACAGAATCTTTTGACCGGTTATGCTGCGAGGTCTTATAGCGCTCTACTTCACGGCGATAATCACTAACACCATCCTGTCCCCACGTACTTCCTGTATCATCAGACCAGGAAAGAAGCAGATCGAATAGACGTTTCCTATTTCTAACATCAAATTTCTCTGATTTTGATTCAACAAATTCAGGGGCAAGGAATCTTAAAACAGATGCAAGTGCATAGCGCAGAGGCTGCATGTCCTGAAAGCTTTCATGAGGTGCCAACGATATCTGTCTTGTTGAATCTTCAATAAACCGCAGATAATGGAGGCGGAAAACTGGTTTACGAGCAAGCATTCCAGGCCAGACATTCTCAGACACTGTTCGATATATATTAGAAACATGAACACGGAGGTCCTCTCTGCGACCTCCTTTTTGGATCTGCATTCATATCATTGGAACACATCTTTTTAGTGTCAAGTCTCAATATTAATTACTCAGCTGAAAATTCAATGTAACAAAAATAGTGAAGAGGAAACAGACGGTCATTAATTTCATATTCAGGGAAATACTCGGCAAAATCTGGTTAGTAGTTCAACATCCATAAGAAGCCCTTACGTGAGAAAATACTGGATACTTCCGTTCCCTCACCTCTAAAGATTCAAAATGAAGCTCAATAAAGCCACAGAGAGGGTACAAATAATGGCAGTGACTTCTAGTACTTTTCATCCAAGAGATTTCCCTTACTTGTTCTCACGTTTTTTCAATTTTTTAGCTTAGTTACCCTTTTTGTGAATTGAGAAGGAAGATTTCAAATGTTTTTGAGAACCGTAACTATGTGCAGCCCAGCAGTTGCATAGTGAATGCTGTAGGATTTCCAGGTATAATTCTGAAAGAAAGTAATCTACATGATTTTTGCTCAAGTATATACCTTCCACTTTGGCTTCGTCTCTGTCTCTGATGAAATCTCCTCCATGAAAGATGCAAGCTCGCTAAACATAATTTCACATGCTTCCAAATGTGAGCGCCCAAGAGCCATAGTCGCAGCATGCTACATGCAAGGAA